CAACGCGAGGCGTCTTCGTCCTCAGCAACGGTTGGCGCCCCCGACAATGAGCACCAGCAAATCCTCTTGCGCCGAATTGGGAACAGAACGCGTTGGTGGACCGTCGAACTAGGAGTGCGCCGCGACCGCCAAAATGGCCGTTGGTGCACCGGCGTCGGAAACCTATATATCGCCAGAGAAATTCCGAAGTCGCGCCATATGTCGCCCACGCACTCTGGGAGGCCGGGATTCGGGACAGAGACGCAAACCAGGGCCGGCGCACGGGCGAAGCTCGGGCGACGCACTGAACGAAACTTTAAGGGGGGGGGGGGGGTCGCTTCACTGGGCCTTAACAGGTGGTGGTGTCTATTCTTGAGGCCCGCACTAGGGACCAGAGTGGTTAGCATGTCGTGCCGCAGCGATGTGTGCCCGGACCGCCAGAGCGACAGGCTGCGCAGAAGTTCCCGGCCGTACGCTTCTCCTCACGGCATAGGCCTCGGGGGCCACTCTTTCTCGGGCCAGCCTGAGGCAATCAAACAACAAACCGCGGCGAAAAAAAACGCCCCCGGGGTGCCAAGAGCTCTGAAGCCCCTCGTCGTGCGAAAACAGCCACAGCGAAGGCCTGGGGCACATGGCAACCCTGGCGACTGAGCGAGGCAGCCGGTCGGAACCTCCCGCTCGGCTGAGCGCGCTCAGGCCAAAACCGCTGCGAGAGAGAGAAGAAGGAACCCATCTCCGCCACCGTACACCCTGCGAAATGCTTAAGAAATCATGGGTTAAGAAATTCATAGTCTCAGAACTTGAATAAAAACCAACATTCCCATTAAAAACTTACGATTTGCATCGAAACGTTAAGAATAATCGAGACTCTGGCCGAAAACTTAAGTCTTCTTAAGCATCGCCTAAGGTGTACCCTCTGCACCGATGGTTCACAAACCTCTTGGGGCGTGCCGCGTGGCCCCCATGGGGCTCCCGGCGCATCCTCACGTGCCTTGCTCGGCCCACGAAGGCCCCGAGAGTCGGGCCCCGAGGGGGCCCCGAGAGGCCCCCAACAAGACGGCCCCAAAGAGGGCCCCGAATCGCCGAACCATCGGTCCAAGACGCCCAAGATGGCCTGCAGTCGGCCGAAGAAGCGCTGAGGACGCCCCAAGAAGCCTCCGAGGCCCTTCCCAACAGGGCCCCGAGAAGGAAAAAGCATTGATTCCCCGATGATGTTTGAAAGATTTGGGCGTTCTCGCTTTTTCGGCTTCCTGACGCTCCAAGACGGCTTCAGAGGCCCCCAAGATCGCCCCAAGACGGCCCGAGGGGCCTCCAAGAGCGCCCCAAAACTGCCCCAGAGGGCCCCGAGACGGCCGAAGAGGCCTTCAAGCAAGACAGCTCCAAGGGGGGGCCAAAACGGGGCACCCGAACTGACATTTCGAACCCTTGGCTCCGAAAGGCCCTCAGGAGGCCCCAAGAAGCCCCCAAGAGGCCCCAAAGAGGCCCCAAGAAGACCCAAGAAGGCCCCCAGGAGCCCCCAAGAGGCCCCCAAGAGGGCCCCAAGAGGCTCCCAAGACGCCCCCATGAGGCCCCCGCCAGCGCCCCGAACTGACCCCAAGAAACATCCCTGGGGACTCTGACCCACAATCCAGGCACGGTGGCGGGATGGGCCGAAGGCCATTCGGTATCCGCCGCCCCCTTTTGATTTATCAAAGGGGTGCCTGGCGTGTTAGACCCTCTCGGTTTTGGTGTTGGCTCTTTTTCCAAAAGAACTCCCCCTGGGGCTTCGGCCCATCCCGCCGGCCACCCGGAAGACCCGGTTGCAAACGCCAAAAACGGCCGTTTCGCTCGGGACATCCTCAAACTATCGCGAAGATGGCCCAAGATGGCCTGCAAGATGCCTCCAAGACAGCCAAGATGGCCTCCAAGACGGCTAAGATGGCCCCAAGACGCATCCAAGACGGCCCAAGATGGCCCCAATATGTCCTATCCCAGACCAAAAGACCCGCAAAGGAGGAATAGATAACAAGAGAAGCTACAATAAAAAATTACAAGAAAGGAAAAGAAGAAAAAAAGTATAATTAATAGAAAAGAGAAGAGAAAAGGCCCCAAGACGGCCCCAAGAGGCCGCCAAGATTCCTCTTCCAAGATTCCTCCAGGAAGGCCCGACGAGTCAAAAATCATAACATCATGCATTATCCCTAGGTTGTTGAAGGATTTCCGTATTTGCTCCTTTTATTCTCTCGGCCTGGGCTTTCCTCCGAGGAGGACGACCCAAGAACAGAAAGAAAAAGAAACAAAGAGCGAGGAAACACGGGCCCAAGAGGCCCCAAGACCTGCCCCCACAGCGCCCCATGAGGCCGTGCAAGATGGCCTTAGGAACTAGGCCGAAGAGGGCCCCAAGACGGTCCCAGAGGGCACAAAGACGACCCAAGAGGCCTCGAAGACCCCAAGGAGTCCTCGCAAGACGGCCCTGAGCATCCCAAGAAGGCCCCAAGACGGCCCAGCGAGGCACCCCAACCGGCTTCCGACGGCGTCAGAC